GTCGAATGGTGGTTAGATCGTCTTTCTACGATCACTGGATGCCGAGATATTTAACGAAACGTCAAAAATCGGCATTTTGTATTTTGCGATACTGCGCCGTTTGACGTTTCGCCTATTATCTCGGCATCCAGTGATCATAAAAAGATGATTTAATTACCATTCGACTCGTCGTTATGAGACGATTCCAACGAGCTATGGTGCATCTTTCTACGATCATTGGATGCCGAGTTATTATGTGAAACGTCAAACGGCGCAGTATCGCAAAATACAAAATGCCGATTTTTGACGTTTCGTTAAATATCTCGGCATCTAGTGATCGTAGAAAGACGATCTAACCACCATTCGACTCGTCGTTATGAGACGATTCCAACGAGCTATGGCGCATCTTTCTACGATCATTGGATGCCGAGTTATTACGTGAAACGTAATATTTTTAGGTTTCGACAATTTCGACATGTTGAAACTATTTCAGCATTTCGGCATTTCGACAGGTTTTAGTTTCGACATTTCGACAATGGCCTGTAGAGTTTCGGCAGGCAACTTTAATTATACCTTGATCTTCGTCTTCAACATCATTTTCTTCATTTCTATTTCGGATTTCTTCGTTTCCTTCAATTCTGATTATTACAGTTCTAATCTTCTCTTCTTGTTCTTCATTCCTAACTTCCTCTTCTTCTTCTTTTTGTTCTTCATTTCTAATTTCTTCCTCTTCCTCTTCTTCTTGTTCTTTATTTCTAATTTCTTCCTTTTTTTCTTCTTCTTGTTCTTTATTTCTAACTTCTTCCTTTTCCTCTTCTTCTTGTTCCTTATTTCTAACTTCTTCCTCTTCCTCTATTTCTTGTTCCTTATTTCTAACTTCTTCCTTTTCTTCTTGTTCCTCATTTCTAACTTCTTCTTCTTCCTCGTCTTGATTCCTTTTCTTAAAATATCCGTTTCTATTCTTGGCTTTATGATCGTCTTTCATTAATATAAATTAAATATAAATTAGAAATATACTCACGAACATGTTGGACAAGTTTTTTTAACAATTCATACGCAAACCAATCATTAAAGCCGAACGGTATATGTAAGTCTTTCGTTCTTAATTTTAACTAAGAAAAGGTTATTATTTCATTATATTTATAAAAAAAAATTTATAAAACAAATAAAAATTACCTTTTCGATTATTTTGAATAAAATGTTATTAGGAATGTCTTTATAGGCATAATTGTATTCAAGCTGATAATCAGCGCATATGCGCATTGCAGCCTAGTTTTATTGATTATTAAAGTCTTGTTTTGTATAACCAAATTATTTATGTATATACGCATTACACATGTCGTATTTACTTCATTCGAAATATTTAACACATTTAACATATCAGCTTTTGAAATATACTTCTTTTTTGGCTTTTGTATAAAACTATGTGTCTTTTAATGATATATTTAAAAAATAAATAAATAACTTAAATAATTAAATACAGTAATAATAATAAGGGCTTACAATAACAGAAGTTATGGACGACGACGTGGAGGGTCTTCGCGTACTCGCTGTGAATGATGTGGAAGGGCTTACAGCAACAGAAGTTATAGACGACGACGTGGAGGTTCTTCGCGTACTCGCTGTGAATGACGTGGAGGGTCTTCACGTACTCGCTGTGGAGGAAGGTCTTTGGAAACTTAACGCTGTGGAAGGTCTATTATAACTTGTTATTGTTGTGGGAAACGAAAAAGTACTATCCAGAGAACTGAAAATAAATTTTTTTTTAATAAAATTTATGAAGAGTTGCATAAAAATCCTTATTTTTTATACACATACTTTATTTTTTCCAATAAAGCTTCATTTTGTTTCTTGATAAGGTCCAATTGTTCTTGGAGATCATTATTATTGCTCATAGTCACGTAAAAGTATCGAACGTATCGTAAACGTATAAATGTTAAAGAGAAAAAAGTAGGAAAAATACGTGGATTTTTATGATGACTAGGGTTTATTAACATCAGGCTATAAATTAAAATCGCGTACGTCCCCCGTGTAAACAGATACGTGAAACAATGTGAAACATGACCTGCCTATATG